CTTAAAGAACCCCCAAGAGGACAAATATGGATTTTATAACGATTATTTCTTGAAGGATGACCAGTGCCCTTATCGACCGAACGAATAGATTTGTTGGAGATTTTTGTGAAGGTCCATCAGGCCTGAAACTTGGTTGTTTTAAGAATATTTTCTGAAACACCACCAGAGACTCAAATGTGGATTTTTAAAGAGGAATTCTTGAAGGACTATCAGAGCACCAAACGTGGATTTTTCAAGAATATTTTTTAAGGACAAGCAAGTCTCCAAACGCGATTTTTTTAAGGACAAACTAGTCTCCAAACTTGGATTTTTTTGAAGAATATTTTTTAAGGACAAAGCGTGTATTTTTAAAGAGTAGTTTTTAAGAACATACGTGGATTTTTTAAGGACAAGCAAGTCTCCAAACCTGTATCTTTTTTTTTTGAAATGGAAGATACTCGGAAGACAAATGGGATGCTTGAAGTTGTCAGAAGAAAACACTAAATATAGACAGTGCTCGTAATGTCGATTTTTAAAGAATATAACTTCTAGAGTCACCACATCTCCAAACTTGGATATTTAAAAAAAATATCTCTTAAAGAACCCCCAAGAGGCCAAATGTGGCTTTTATAAAGACTATTTCTTGAAGGACCATCAGTGCCCTTAATATAGTTTTTTTTTGGAGATTTTTGTGAAGGTCTATCAGGCCAGAAAATTAGTTGTTTTGAGCATATTTCCTGAAGCATCACCAAAGCCTCAAATGTGGATTTATAAAGAGTAATTCTTGAAGGACTATCAGAGCACCAAATGTGGATTTTTCAAGAATATTTTTTAAGGACAAGCAAGTCTCCAAACGCGATTTTTTTAAGAATAATTTTTAAACTTTACTTGGATTTTTTTGAAGAATATTTTTTAAGGACAAAACGTGTATTTATTTATTAAAGAGTATTTTTTAAGGATAAAACGTGGATTTTTTTAAGGACAAGCAAGTCTCCAAACCTCGGAAGACAAATGGGATGCTCGTCGATTTTTAAAGAGCATAACTTCTAGAGTCACCACCTCTCCAAACTTAGATATTTAAAAAAACAAAAAAAAAAAAAAAATAATATCTCTTAAAGAACCCCTAAGAGGCCAAATGTGGCTTTTATAAAGATTATTTCTTGAAGGATAACCAGTGCCCTTAATATAGATTTTTTTGGAGATTTTTGTGAAGGTCCATCAGGCCTGAAAATTGGTTGTTTTAAGCATATTTTCCTGAAGCACCACCAAAGCCTCAAATGTGGATTTCTAAAGAGTAATTCTTGAAAGACTATCTCGGCACCAAACTTGTATTTTTCAAGAATATTTTTAAGAACGATTTTTTCAAGAATATTTTTAAGGACAAAATGTGAATTTTTTTCAAGAATATTTTTAAGGACCAAACGTTGATTATTTTTAATGTTTTTAAGTACAAAGCGTGTATTTTTTCCGGAATATTTTTAAAAACAAGCGAGTCTCCAAGAGTATTTTTTAAGGATAAAACGTGGATTTTTTTAAGGACAAGCAAGTCTCCAAACCTCGGAAGACAAATGGGATGCTCGTCGATTTTTAAAGAGCATAACTTCTAGAGTCACCACCTCTCCAAACTTAGATATTTAAAAAAACAAAAAAAAAAAAAAAATAATATCTCTTAAAGAACCCCTAAGAGGCCAAATGTGGCTTTTATAAAGATTATTTCTTGAAGGATAACCAGTGCCCTTAATATAGATTTTTTTGGAGATTTTTGTGAAGGTCCATCAGGCCTGAAAATTGGTTGTTTTAAGCATATTTTCCTGAAGCACCACCAAAGCCTCAAATGTGGATTTCTAAAGAGTAATTCTTGAAAGACTATCTCGGCACCAAACTTGTATTTTTCAAGAATATTTTTAAGAACGATTTTTTCAAGAATATTTTTAAGGACAAAATGTGAATTTTTTTCAAGAATATTTTTAAGGACCAAACGTTGATTATTTTTAATGTTTTTAAGTACAAAGCGTGTATTTTTTCCGGAATATTTTTAAAAACAAGCGAGTCTCCAAGAGCAGATTTTTTGAAAAAATTTTTTTTTAAGACAACCCATTTTCCAAAATCGGATTTTTCAAAAATATTTTTTAGGATAAGAAGGACAAGCCAGTCTCCAAACGTTAAGTTTTTTAAGAATATTTTTTAAGGACAAGCAAGTCTCCAAACTTAGATTTTTTTAAAGATTTTTTCAAGGATATTTTTTTAAGGACAAGCCAGTCTCCAAACGGGGATTTTTTCAAGAACATTTTTTTAAGGACAAGCAAGTCTCCAAACGTTGATTTTTTATCAAGATTTTTTTAAGAATACTTTGTTAAGGACAAGCCAGCCTCCAAACGTGAATGTTTTTAAGAACGAGCAAGTATCCAAACGTGGATTTTTTAAGCATAATTCTAAAGGACAAGAAAGTCTACAAACTTGGATTTTTTTTAAGGACAAGAAAATCTCCAAAAATGGATTTTTTCAAGAATATTTTTTATGGACAAAGATGTCTCCAAACTTGGATTTTTTCAAACATATTTTTTAAGGACAAGAAAGTCTTCAAACTTGGATTTTTTCCAGAATATTTTTAAAGGAAAAGAAAATCTCCAAATGTGAATTTTTTCAAGAATATTTTTTATGGACAAGGAAGTCTCCAAACGTGGATTTTTTCAACGATATTTTTTAATGGCAAGAAAGTCTCCAAACGTTTTTTCAAGGATATTTTTTAAGGACAACCAAGTCGCCAAACGTGACAACGAAGTATTGAAACTTTGAAATTTTGAGACTATTTTTTTAAGAACAACAAAGTCTTCAGACCTGGATTTCTGAGAAGTATTTCTCGAAGGACAGCCAGATATCCAAAAGTGTTTTTTGTAGAAATATTTCTTGAAGGACTATACAGGGTCAGATAAAGGAACTGCAACAAAGTCAAACGCCATAATTTTTATTTTATTTTATTGAATGAAAACAAAAAATTGCGGAAAAAACATCAAATTTTAGAATAAGTTTAGATTTGTACGAATTGGTCACCTTTGGCACAAATTATGGCCTTCAAACGGCCAATGTAACCGTCACACGCTGCCCGAATGTTGCTCTGCGGTATTTTGGCCCATTCCCGGCGAAGCGCTTGCTTGAGGAGATCTACACTTTGGTATTTTTTAGTACCAACCTTGCTGTCCAAAATACTCCAGACACAATAGTCCTACGGATTGGTATCCGGAGATTTTGGTGGCCATTGTGCGGTGGAAATGAAGCGAGGAACCTCATTTTGTAACCATTCTTGGGTGACGCGTGCAGAATGCGGTCTGCGGCCAAAATGTTTTTGTGTCCAAGTTTTTTAATACTCCCTCCAGAATATTTTCTCGACAATATTCGGCATTTATTCTGATGCCACGGTCGATTAATAACAGCGGAGAGCGACTTTCGGCTGTTATGGCAGCCCACACCATCACCATGGCCGGCGCTTGAGTTCTAGTGGCCAACCGAAGGTGCACATTTTCAGCTGACCTCTTTGGCAAGTGAACACGATCATTTTGATTGTTCACAAACTGCTAAACAACGAATGTTTTCTCATCGAGGAAACCCAAATTCAGCAGTTCACCACTTTCGGCCAAACGAAGCCACCCTATAGCTCTTTTGAGTATATTTTCTTTCTGTTACGATGTGAGTTTTTGCACTTTTTGGAATTTCCATGTCTTTACCTTGAGCTCATTTTTCAATATTTGCCGAATGGAATATTGCTAAATGTTCAGTTCACGAGCCATTTTTCGGCCACTGCGACGCGGGTTTCGATCAAGGCGCTTCTTTACATTTAGAACCATTTCTGCTGATGTTGTTTCTTCCGTCCGCTTCCTTGACGACGGGCTACGCTACCAGCATCACGGTAACAAGCGATGGTACGAGACACAAAATATATATTCACATTTAAATGCTGGAGTGCTCTAACGATAGCCACTTGTGGTTTTCCAGCCAAATATAAAGAAATCACACTATCACGCTTGAATTCCATCAAGAATAACTTTTTTTCTGGAAAATTCTCCCCAAAATGCTTTTGTACGCTTGTAAACAATATAATGAGCTGTCACTGGAATAATTTTAACAGCTGTCGGACGAGTGACTTAAAAATGACAGCAATCTGAAGTTGGTTGTATTTTTTTCATCTCACCCGATATTGTTTCATTCCTTCGAAACCTATGCCACAGAGGGTCAACAATTTGAATAATCATAACAGAAGTTAAAATATATTTAAATAATCGAACATTGGTTGGAGGTATGTGTCTACATTTTTAACTTGTTTTTTTTTAAGATTTTAAAAATTAAATTTTCAAAAATTAATTTTTTTTTGGCAATCAAAAAAATAATAATTAAAAAATCTCTATTTGTAAAAAAAATATTTTTGTAAAAATTACTATTGAAAATCTGTTTCCTTAAAATAAAGATTAAATATTTTGTTTTTGGAAATAAAATATTTGTGGATTTTTAAGACTATGATATTATTTCTCAAAATCAATTTAAAAATGGTATAATTTAAGTGGGCTTCTTTTTTGACACGTTGCATATGGGAGTTTTTCTTTTGAATTTTCCCAAGAAGAAAACACGAAAATTTCACACTCGATGTTTTTTTTTTCTTCCAAGAGCTCATCAAGTAAACATTGAAAAACATAGGAATCTCAAGAAAATAAAAACAAACTGAAATTTAAATGATTCTATTGTTCTTATTATTGCTGTTGTTGTTGCTGTTATAGCTATTATTATTATAATTATTGCTGCTGTTGATTTATGGATGACTCAAAAAAAAAAAAAAAATAAATAAATAAATAAATTTAAATTTGCAAAAAAAAAAAAATACATTTAAAGAATTGTAAAACACCTGTTACGCTTTGGCATGATTCATTTATTTCACACACCAACGCAACCACCCCACCCACTTCGTGGCTAACACCGAATTAACAACCTGTAAATATGAATATTCCATTTCCCATCATCGTCGTGTCTTTCAGAATTTCTCGAATACAACGTCGTCGTCTTCGTCGTCATACATGTGTCCAACAAAGTCGAATAAAAAAATTGCCGTAAAAGTATTGAAAAGTCCCCAGAATCCAACATATCAGACGACAGCGAAGAACCAGGATTTCCATCTGTATCAGACGGTGGATCAGCTGCAGCAGCAGCAGCAGCCGCTGCAACAGAAAGCTTTAATGCCACCGCTGGATCATGCTACACATATCATTAGCCATCAGCATCATTGCAAGCATCATCACAAACATCATCTGCCACAGCAGCCGCAGTCACTGCCGCTCTATCACCAATACGAATATCAGCCGTCGTATGAGACTCAGGCTCAACGTCTAAGTCAGGCGGCCAGTGAGTTGCAGCATCAAAAACAACAACTCCAACAGGAGTTACAACAACATTTCCACTACAATGAGTATACGAATCAAAATAGTTTCTTCTACTTCGATAGAAAGCTGTCGTCGACGGCTCTCTCCTCGCCAGACTCGCCGCTGACAAGTGTCACCACACCCACCAATCAAACACCTCTGCATCAGAAATTCTCTTGCCATTCATCACCGCAAACGCCCAAACATTATCATCAGCATCATACGGCGCCAAAATGCCTTACTCAACGCCAATCATCGACGCCATGTTGCATGCGATCGGCTTCACCACCACCCGCACCCACCGGCGGCCGTCAATCAAAGGCCACGTCTACACCGGATCGCATGGCAAAAACACCCACCTCCTCTCTGACCAAGCCCAAGAAGTGGCGTCGACCATTTAGCTCATATCATTCCTGTGACGATTTGGATGCCACCAACAATGCCACAAATCTGAACAAATCGAAAAACTCCACCAACGATCATCATCATTCTTCGCCCCATCAAAATTCCAACGAGAAAATGGTCGTGGCCAGTCTAAAGTATTTGTGTGCCTGCACGGGGGCCACGCTGCGTAACTTGTCGAAACGTACCAAAGATTTACACAAGAAAAACTGTTACTCCTATGTGAAGGTATGAGGGGGGAAAAAAGCGGAGAAAAAGCTAATTTATTTTGAATTAAAGTTTTTCCCCAGGAATTTTAGTTTTTACGAACCCAAAAAAAAAGGAAAATAAATAAAATAAAATCTGGAAAAAAGGAGAATTTTTTCTATAGAAAAATCTATCCTCAGTTCCTGAGGAGAATTTTTCTATAGAAAAATATATCCTCAGTTCCTGAGGAGAATTTTTCTATAGAAAAATATATCCTCAGTTCCTGAGGAGAATTTTTCTATAGAAAAATATATCCTCAGTTCCTGAGGAGAATTTTTCTATAGAAAAATATATTCTCAGCTCCTGAGGAGAATTTTTCTATAGAAAAATATATTCTCCGCACCTGAGGAGAATTTTTCTATAGAAAAATATATTCTCCGCACCTGAGGAGAATTTTTTCTTTAAAAAAATCTATCCTCAGTTTCTGAGGAGAATCTTTTCTATAGAATGATCTTTCCTTTGTTCCTGAGAAGAATTTTTTTCTACAGAAAAATCTATCCTCATTTCCTTAGGAGAATTTTTTCTATAGAAAAGTCTATCCTTAGTTTCTAAGGAGAATTTTTACTATAGAAAAATCTATCTTCAGTTCCTAAGGAGAATTTTTTCTTAGTTACTGAGGCGAATTTTTTTATAGAAAAATCTATCCCCACTTCCTGAGGAGAATTTTTTCTATACGTAAAATCTCACCTCAGTGGCTGAGGTGGAAATTTTTCTATACGTAAAATCTCACTTCAGTGGCTGAGGTGGAAATTTTTCTATACGAAAAATCTCACCTCAGGGGCTGAGGTGGAAATTTTTCTATACGAAAAATCTCACCTCAGGGGCTGAGGTGGAAATTTTTCTATATGAAAAATCTCACCTCAGTGGCTGAGGTGGAAAGTTTTCTATACGAAAAATCTCCCCTCAGTGGCTGAGGTGGAAAGTTTTCTATACGAAAAATCTCCCCTCAGTGGCTAAGGTGGAAAGTTTTCTATACGAAAAATCTCCCCTCAGTGGATGAGGTGGAAAGTTTTCTATACGAAAAATCTCCCCTCAGTGGCTGAGGTGGAAAGTTTTCTATACGAAAAATCTCCCCTCAGTGGCTGAGGTGGAAAGTTTTCTATACGAAAAATCTCCCCTCAGTGGCTGAGGTGGAAAGTTTTCTATACGAAAAATCTCCCCTCAGTGGCTGAGGTGGAAAGTTTTTTATACGAAAAATCTCCCCTCAGTGGCTGAGGTGGAAAGTTTTCTATACGAAAAATATCACCTCAGTGGCTGAGGTGAAAAGTTTTCTATACCAAAAATCCCCTTAATTACTCAGGAAAAAAATTTTCAATCCTCAGTTCCTGAGAAGAAGTTGTTCTTCTTCTTTGCTTGTTAAATTCTCTGGTATCTGACAGCTGACGAAATTTTAACTCAGCAAAAATGCCATTATTTCATTTATCCATCACTTCCTATCGCTATACAAATGTATGTGCTTCACAATGTCTTTCACTCACTCGCATTCGATTGATTTCAATTTAATTCACTTTAAACAAACATTAACAACATTTCGAATAACAAAAAAAATGGTATTTCAATGTAATTTACGAAAGAAAAATAAACGACGACAGAAAGAGGAGAAAGCCAAAAAATCGAATCCATTTTTTTGGCAAATGTTTGAATAAATCAAAGTCCAATTTCTAATCAATTACATGTGACTAACACACAGATCGTTAGAATCGAAAACAAAAATGTGTAAATCTATTTTAAATTGATTGAAATTTCAAGATCAAGAAACCAAAATAAAACGTGTTGAAATGGTATTTTTAAAAAATACTAAAAGAAATGAAAACAAATTACCGTTTGGATGTGAAATAATAGGTGGTCATTTTTAGGTTTTCAATTTTCTTCAGAATTTTGAAAAGAAAATATAGGGGGACGGTAGGGGGATATAGAACTTCATCAACAAATATAGGCAAATATCTGTTAAGCCTTAACAAAGTTTTGGGATTATGAACATCTCCTTGATACACCCTGGATCCATTTGAGATATAATTCAATCGATATGACTTCCTGTTAACACAGCCACCCTGTTTCGTTCGATTTTGAATTCATTATACCGTTAATGGTATCGGGAGCAATTCTTCCTAATATCCTTTGCCTTTTCAATAGCTCTTTGATACAATATTTCCCTCTGCAATGCAAAAAAATAATCTTTTCAATGCACTCAATGGGAATTCTAAGAAGTGCCTAAAAGTATGCAACATTTTAACCTCCCTCGTTATCTGGCTGTTTTTTATTCAAAGATACCTACAATAGATGATTGAAAAATATCATTAACATATTTTTATACCCTATACATAGTGGTAAGGGTATTATGTCTTTGTGCACTTGTTTGTAAAACGGAGAAGGAAGCGAGATAGGCCCATAGTTATTTTTGAGGATCTTCATAGAATCACTTTCTGAGTCGATTTATGCATTTCAGTCTGTCTGTTCGACCGTCCATGTGTTCTTGTGAACCAAATGCAGGTCGCATTTATTATCCGATTGAGATGAAATTTTGCAAACGATATTTTTTTGGCCCAAGGACAACCCCTATTGAAATCGGTGAAAATCGGCTATAGCTCCCATATATATGTTTCATCCGAATTCGGGTTAATTGTGCACCAAATGGCCAATGCAAGTCCAAATGACCTGAATTTCGGCACATCCGACCGAATTCAGTCTAGAAGCAAGTACATCAAAATACATCAAGTTTGTCATTCCGTTTGTAACACCTCGAAATATGCATTTTAGACCCCACAAAGTATATATATTCATGATCAGCATAAAATTCTATTAAAAATGCCATGCCGTGGACCCTGTAGGTCCACGTTTTGGTATAGCCTCCATATAACGATACCTCCCGATATTCGGTATTTTGGTAATTTTTGCGACAATATTCATCGAAATTGTTTCAAATTTGGTATTTGAAGTTTTAAATGAATACTGCAGCCTATGATAGAAAATTGTCTGTACAGGTCCACGTCTTCGTATAGCCCCCATATAACGGTACCTCCCGATATTCGGTATTTTGGTAATTTTTGTGACAATATTCATCGAAATTGTTTCAAATTTGGTATTTGATGTTCGTAATGGATACTACAGCCTATAACAGAAAATTGTTAATGCAGGTCCACGTCTTCATATAGCACCCATATAACGGTACCTCCCGATATTCGGTATTTTGATGATTTTAGCGACAATATTCACCGGAATTGTTTCAAATTTGGTATTTGATGTTCGTAATGGATACTACAGCCTATAACAGAAAATTGTTAATGCAGGTCCACGTCTTCATATAGCCCCCATATAATAGTACCTCCTGATATTCGGTACTTTGTTGATTTTAGCGACATTATTCACGGGAATTCTTTCAAATTTGGTATTCGAAGTGGATACTTCAGCCTAAGACAAAAAATTGTCTGTGCAGGCCCACGTCTACGTATAGCCCCATATAACGGTAGCTTCCGATATTCAGTATTTTGACGATTTTAGCGACATAATTCACCGGAATTGTTTCAAACTTGGTATTTGAAGTTCGTAATGAATACTACAGCCTAAGACAGAAAATTGTCTGTGCAGGTCCACGTCTTCGTATAGCCCTCATTTAACGGTACCTCCCGATATTTAGTATTTTTATGCTTTTAGCGACATTATTCACCGGAATTGTTATAAATTTGGTATTTGAACAAAAATTACCTATGCAGGTCCATGTCGTCGTATAGACCTTAATATAACAGCTACATTCGGTATTTTTAAGATTTCAATAGAATTTTTAACGGATTTTATTGTTTTTGAGAATAGCCAAATGGTGGAGGGTATTCAATGTTCGGCCCGGCCGAACTTACAGCTTTTTTACTTGTTTTTGATATAATCCTTTTCGAAGTGATATAATGTACTCTATAACAATGTTATTTGATATAAACCATTAAAATGTCTCTGTCAGATTTAGTGAAAATCGATTCAGAATTGGATATGCCTCCCATATATTAATTTGTGCCCTCTGAAACCAAATTATAACTGCTCTAAATCCAAATGTTGATAGGTGTTATGATCTACATCAAATAAATTCTATTGTTACGGGAGCTCTACTAAATATGCATGGAGGTGTAGGGTATCATATAGTCGGCCCTGCCCGATTTTTCCTTACTGGTTTTAATATTTGTTTTCAGTCCTCTATATCGATATATGTGTAGTTCACATTCTCTAATTTTGAGGTCAAATAAATTTCCTTGACCTCTTGGCAAAATTTGAAATTTATTTTCGTTTTATTTTTGCAATATTTATTTATTTTCTATTTATAAATATTAATAATTCAATTCGTTTTATTGATTTATGTGTGGGTTTGGATGCTGACAAAAATAGCCAACTGTGAAACCAAATCCCCACCCAACGAGGCTGGTGGTAATAATTGGCCAACAAAATCAAACGAAAATAACCCACATACGGCCTTTAGCACTGTTGGGGCATTTTGCAAATTTTATGACCCAAAGTGGTGCACCAAAACGAGTGCACAAAAGCAACAAGAACAAATGTTTTGGATATTAAATCATTTCCGTTTGCATATGAGAATCTGAAAATGCTGTGGACATTGGAAATTGTTAGCCATATTTTCCTAATGAAAGAGGGTTTGAATATTTTGAGTTCAAATTTCAATTCCAGCTGATTTAATTGACATTTTTAGATTTTGTGAAATAAAATGCAATTTAGAATTTAGTGTTCTTTTTCAAAATAAATGCAAGTTCCGCTTTTTAACAACAAGACGAAGTCAATTTTTGCCAATTTTCTTTCCATGAATATTTATTTTTCCTCATTCTGCTCAGTTTGGAATTTTCGCATGCCATTTTTTTGGTTGTTGTATTCTTTGTTTCTAAAAAAAATATTACCAATTTGCTTAAAACTAATCAATTTCTTTATTTCGTTTTTTGTTTATTTTTTTACAGCCCACGTGGCGGGTATGGGGTGAAGAAAAGGATACCGATATTATTTACACCGTATACCTGAAAAAGGTGTGCTACCACCGGCCCACACCCTCAGCAGCCAATGTAAGTATACTTTGCCATACAGGACATTTATTTATGTTATTGTTGTTGTTGTTTGTTTGTAGAAATGTGAATGATTTATTTGAACTATCAGTTAACGTTCAAGGATAGTGTCAGAGTGACAGTGGCACTGTCATTAGCTCTAATTGGGGGAAAATTGTATTGTGAAAATTCACCATAAATGGGAGAAAAATAAACAGAGAGAGAGAGAGAGGAGGAAAGAGGAGAGGAAGAAAAATGATATTTTAGGTTATTTTCGTTTCAAGACCAACGACCGAGAGTCATTGACAAAAAATAGTTTCGTTGGCCAAAAGCTAGAAGTTCAATGCTATGGGAGTCCTTTGGGGGTGGTTGACAATGGACAATGACTTTGACATTTAGCAATAGGCTCCAGAAATAGATTTTGTTTGAACAATATATCCAAATACTTTTTTTAAGAATCAACAAATGTGGATTTTTTAAAGAAACATATTTTTTAAGGACCTACAAAACATGGATTTTTTAAAGAAATATTTTTTTAAGGATCAACAAACGTGGATTTTTTAAAGAAATATTTTTTCAAGGATCAACAAACGTGGATTTTTTAAAGAAATATTTTTTCAAGGATCAACAAACGTGGATTTTTTTTAAAGAAATATTTTTTCAAGGATCAACAAACGTGGATTTTTTAAAGAAATATTTTTTCAAGGATCAACAAACGTGGATTTTTTTAAAGAAATATTTTTTCAAGGATCAACAAACGTGGATTTTTTTAAAGAAATATTTTTCAAGGATCAACAAACGTGGATTTTTTAAAGAAATATTTTTTCAAGGATCAACAAACGTGGATTTTTTAAAGAAATATTTTTTCAAGGATCAACAAACGTGGATTTTTTAAAGAAATATTTTTTCAAGGATCAACAAACGTGGATTTTTTAAAAGATTTTTTTTTCAAGGATCAACAAAAGTAGATTTTTTTAAAGATTTTTTTTCAAGGATCAACAAACGTGGATTTTTTTAAACAATTTTTTTTCAAGGATCAACAAACGTGGATTTTTTAAAGAAAAATTTTTTTAAGGATCAACAAACGTGGATTTTTTAAAGAAATACAGGGTGAGATGAAAAAACTGCAACCAAATTTGGACTGCTGTCATTTCTAAGCCACTCGTCCGACAGCTGTTAAAATTATTCCAGTGGCAGCTCATTATATTGTTTATAAGTCGGATGTTGATAAGTGAAGGATATCAGGAATTACGATGTTGTGTTTGGGTCACAATGGCGCTCAGGATAGTAACGATTTAAATGTAATCCGGAACTTTTGAATGGTCGCCAGATGTTGATTGATGCCAGAGATCGGGAATTACGATGTTTATGTCCGTAGTAATTTCGGTATTCGGAATGTTGACGATTTGAAGGTAATCGAGAACTTCAGAACTTCGGGTTGGCGAGTGGTAGATAATCAGCTTTTGGGATATAGGTGGTTGGGTCTTCGGCGAAATGTTGGGGACTCGTGGTATATAGTCTTTGGAGGATGACAGTTCCCTGCATGGCTACTCTGGAGAAGATGTTCAGGTCGTCTTAGGTTGTTTTGTTTCGTCAGCTCACTGTTGGTATGTTCGGAAGCAGCTGTCCAGGCCTTATGAGATGATTCGGGATCCGTTACAGTACAACGAGCCAACGACTCCTCTGATAAAAAGGAATCTCCTGCGGGACAACGAGCTGCAGACTCCCGTGGCTGAAGACCCTATATAAATGAATTTCTCACCATTCAATTTAATGAGAGCCAGTTCAAAAAGGATTCCGAGCTAACGAATCTGGGACAGAAAATGATTCAGAAAATCACTAACTACCCTTTGGCAAGCCCCAGCCAAACCGAACACCATATGTGATTGATATTACCAACTAAATGAGAATTATTTGCCTTAGGCAGTAAATGGCGTATTGGCAAAAGTTGAATTGCCAGTAACACTGCATCTCAAATAGATCGGAACTCGTTTGAGTTCCGCAGCTCACTTTGGGTATGTCCAGGAGCAGATATCCAGACTTTTTGAGATTGATCGAAGTGGTTATGTTCGAGTTTAGCTGTTTGAGTCGTCTACTATGGCCAGGAAACTATTCTGGATAGGACTTCGGTTTCGGTGATTTATCTGCTGCGGGATAACAGGCCACAGACTCCGAGTCGAAGCCCCTCTGTAAATGATTTCCCGACCACTCAATTTGATAAGAGCCAGTTCAAAAAGTATTCTCAGCTAACGAACGAGGACAGAAAATGATTCAGAAAATCACTAGTTTTTTTGAAAAGCCTCCAGCTAACCCGAATACCATATGTAATCGGAATTACGAAGTGAAAGAGAATTATTTGCCTTATCCGATAAACGGTATATTACCGAAAGCTGAAATGCCAGTTACTCTACACTGGTTTAAAAAAGATCAACAAACGTGTATTATTTTTTAAAGATCAATAAAGCTGGAATTTAAAAAAAATATTTTTCAAGGATCAACACATGTGGAATTTTTCAAAAAATATTTTAAAACAACAACAACTTCGATTTTGTTATAAAATTATATTTTTATTTATTTTTTTTTTTTTGCAAGTGCCTCCCAACGTCTCTTGCCTTTACTAATCTTCCCGTTTTTATCTCTTCACTCTCTTTCCAGCCCGACTCCGAAGATGACATCTCCTATCTGGAATGGGAAATGGTGCGAGTTCGTTTTGTCAAGGCCGCCACCTTGGAGCGTCTGGTCGAAGCTCTGGCCACCGATGATGGTGAACTCGAATCGACTTTCATCAATGTTTTCCTCAACACCTATCGTACCTTTTCAACATCCAAAGAAGTTCTGGGTCTGTTCATAAAACGTTTCAATACGCTGACGGAGAAACAACGTATCGAAGACATCAAGCACAAAGATGATGTCGATTACGACCCCAGCGCCACCGTTCATGAACAGCACAAAAAAACTCTAGTCTCGGTGTGGAAAATGTGGCTAAACGGCTTTCCCGAAGATTGGAATGAGGAAAATCTCCGCTATTTAATAACGTTCACTAGCAAACATTTACCAAATTCCGATTTACATTCGCGGGCGTTGAATCAATTGGAAATGATATTGCGCCAGCAGGTTTACAGCAAAAAAAGTCTGCCACCCTGGTTGGGTGATCAATTTGCCGATCTGTATTTGGCACCGGAATTTCAAAGACGGGCCTGTTTTCTGGAGACCTATCGTTTTCCCCGCATCGATGTGCGGCATTTTGCCGAACAGTTGACACGAATGGATTGTGATTTGTTTAAGAAGGTGATATCGCATCAGTGTTTGGGCGCCACATGGTCGAGGCGGTCACAGGGCTGCTGCGAGACGGTGGTGGCCACCGTAACACAATTCAATGAAGTCTTATATCGAGTCATAACAAGTATACTGATAGAGAGAGCTTTGGAACCACAGGTGGGTGTTTGGAAGGTCTTCAGTGCCGAGAGATTTGAAATTATTGTTCTTTTTTTGTTTTTTATTTTTCCAGGAAAGAGCAGTGTATATAGCAGTATGGATAGATATAGCTCAAGAACTGAGGTTACTCAAAAATTTCTCTTCCCTGAAAGCCATTGTAACTGGTCTGAATTCATCGGCTATATATCGTTTAAGTAAAATCTGGAGTGTATTGCCAAAGGAAAAGGTGAGTCCTTGGTATTTGGTGCTATTGAAGGATTTAATTGGCTTGTCGCTTGTGTCCTTAAGGGAGACTGGGATTGTGGGGATCGACAGAAATTAGGGTGTCATATCTATGAACATGGATCTACGTCCAATACCAATTGAAATAGCTGCAGCACCCAGAACGTAGTTGGCTTTGCAAGGCTTCTTAAATTCTTCAGCCGAAATGAATGGAGGGTTGGGGTCTGAGAACGGTGCTCACTACTCTGTTTTGTAACATGGCCTATGTGACTGCATCAGGATGACCTATCTGGGGGTCTTGGTGTGTTAGTACCTCATTCGTATAGATTTTGACTTCTCTGTTCTAGTACCTTATTCGTACATTTTGTACTTCTGTCTCTAGACTATTAAGGTGTTCCATGACCCGTTCGGTACCGAGTTACGAAACATGTTTGCTTCCTTAGATTATCCACTGGTGTCGTGAGAAGGTCCAAGGTCGCCATTTTAAAAAGTATGAATACTTTGCATAGATGCTGTCGAATGTGACCTATATCTATTTCAAAATTGCTCCCAGCCATTAAATTGAGATCAGAACGTTACTGAAACCCTATCGAAACATATATTTGGAAGCTATAGCTATATCTGAACCGATTTTCAACAACTTTGATGTACTTGCTTCTAGACAGAATCCGGTCGGATGTGGAAAAATTCAGGTCATTTGGACTGATATATGAACCGATTCTCAACAATTTCAATGTTGTTGCTGTAGCGTTAGTACATGCAAATGTTTGCGTTCTGCTAATCTGGTTCCAGCTCCAGGTATAGAAATGCGGCTACTTTAATGGACTGTAGCCAGAGATCTTCGGGAGTGAGTTGGGTAGGTTGGCTGTGCAATTAAATATGTGCACCGTATTGTGCGGGCCTGTATCACACGCCGGGCAGGCTTCACGCACATCTTCATCAATTCGTGCCCAATACGAATTGAGACGACTACAGCTGACGTTCTTCAGCTGCAATGGATGGGGGTGGACTCCGGGGATGGCATTCATTTTATAATTGTTAATAGCATCTGCGACTGCATCGGTATGAAAGCTACTCAGACCTGCCTGATAGGCTTCTTGATCTAGAGATTCTCTCTTGTAGCGTTGGACCTCCCTCTATAGATCATGTATACCCTTCCTGACACGCCTGGGTGGGGGAGATTTATTCACCATCACATATGATGGTTGGGATGACTCTCACGGTAACACCCAAGCAGGTACTGCAACGTAAGCATATGATTATGTTGACGTAAGGGAAGGACTTTCGCCTCCTCATGTAGATGGTCCACTGGAGTCATGAGAAGGCACCCTGTCGCAGATCTCAGGGCAGCGTTCTGGCAGGTCTGGATGTGCATCCACTGCGTAGCACTGGTATTCGCAGACCATATTGGAGCCGCATAGTTGACCACAGACCGATCTATCGCGTTTTAAGAGGTCAACAAGGTTTCTTTGTCCGCACACCAAGTGCTGTCGACTAACGCCTTGAGGACCTTCTTCCTACTTTTCATCTTGTCGCAGATAGCTGTGGCCTGCGTGGATGACTTGAACATGTTGTCGAATGTGACCCCTAGAATCTTGAGGTAGTTCGTGGTCGGTATTAGATTCTCCTTGACCTGCAAATTCAGCTGGGTTCTTATCTCCGCAGACCATGTGGTAAAGAGTGTGGCCGTTGATTTCGTGGCGGATATTTCCATATTCCTCGTGTGGAAGTATGCAGCAAGCTCCACGAGATAGGGGTTCAGCCTTTAGCATATGTCATCGACCACTGGGCCCGACGTCATGATCGCGTAATCATCCTCATACGTTACGATCTCTATGCCGTCTGGAGGGCGAGAAATTCCGGAAAGGTTGAGGTTAAACAGTTCCGAAGATATCACCCTTCCCTCTGGGGTAACACCCTGTTTCACTCTACGGGCTTTGGACTTCTTGTTCCGGAATTCCACATACGACTGGCGTCCACACATATAGTTGATTATCCAATTTTTCAAACTTGGCCGGAGGTTGGTTCTCTGCACAGTATGGCATGATTGACCGTATCAAATGCCTTTGATAGGTCAAGGGCTACCAACTCTGTTCTGTCACACAGCTTGTTCTGGTTCAGTCCTCTACTAATATGTGTAAAAATGGCACCAATTTCAATAGGTATCGTCCTTGGGTCAAACAAATGTTGTGTGGGAAAAATTAATCTCAATCGGATAAATAATGCAACCTGTATTTTGTTCACAAAAATACATGGACAGATAGACGGACGGACTGACATGCATAAACCGATTCAGAAAGTAATTCTATGAATATCCTCAAAAGTAACCATGGATCTACCTCGCTTCCTTCTACATGTTACAAACAAATGCACAAAGACATAATACCCTTACCACCTTGTGGCGTAGGGTATAAAAATCACGAATGGAGGTCTCTCGGTCCTTGAAAAACTATTCTTTAAAAATCCAATACTATTGGTCTGTTCGTCCGTTAAAAAAATATTCTTAAAAAATTCACGATTATTGGTCTGTTGGTCCTTGGAAAAATTATTTTAAAAAATCAGGATTATTGGCCAGTCAGCCCCAATAAAATGTTTCTTTAAAAAATCCCCGTTTGTTGGTGGATCTTGAAAAAATAATCTTAAAAAATTTCCCATTTTTTGATCCTTGTCTTTTGGTTTTTCATTTTTTTTTTTTCAAATCAATTCTAATATCGTTTTTCATTTTAGCTGGAAATATTTCAAGAACTTGCCCGAATTTGTTCTGAGGACAATAATGCTTCAGTTCAGAGAGAACTGCTGATACGGGAGGGTACAGCGAAATTTGCCGAAACCGTGGGTGAAAATGATCGTCACATGCAGAAGATAATACAGAAACAGGTAAGTTCATGCTTCTCACTTTTTAAAACCCCTAATTAATTTTGATTTATTTTACCTTACAGAGCACCCACACGTCACACGGTACCATACCCTATTTGGGTACGTTCCTAACTGATTTGACAATGATTCATCAGGCCAATCCGGATACGGTGGGTGAAGACAACCTCATCAATTTCGAAAAGAAACGAAAAGAATTTGAAGTTTTGGCAAAAATTAAACTACTACAAGGAGCAGCTAATACCTATAATTTGGAAGAAGATCCGTTGTTTAATCGTTGGTTCTATTCAATGCCTGTGCTGACGGAGGAGGATGCCCACACGCTGTCATATCAATTGGAACCACCACCACCAACTGCGCCAAGGAAAAGTAACACCTCATCGAATATGTCATCGGCGAATAGTTCAATATTGGGTCATAGGAAAACCGATTCGATTGCTTCGAACTCCAGCAGTGGAGCGGGATCACAGTTCTATTGTGAAATTAGTTCGCATAATAGTTCCAGGCACAATTCGTTGGATAGAGAGGCCCACAACAACCATATGTCGGCAACTAGTAGTGTTTCGAATTTATCCCTGGATTCAAGCAACTCCGGCGGAGGCCTCAATAAATCCAAAATGATACACTCACAAAGTTCAAATGGTCTACTGCGCAGTAGTCATGGCTCGACCAGTGGGTCGCATACACCCACTCATGTCGGTTCACCGCTCATTAATGCCCAGGTTGTGAATTCACCCGGAGCCAATGCAGATTTTTATATTGTTAAAATTACCTTGGAATCGGAAACAATGCCCCAGGATGGCATTGTGGTGTACAAAAGTATGATGGTAAAGAATAATGAACGCACACCACAGGTGATACGTAATGCCCTCATGAAGCTGGGCATTGAGGATGATGCCGACAATTATACGCTGGCCCAACGGCTGCCCGACAAAGATGTTGATTTGCCACGCAATGCCAATGTTTTCTATGCCGTGGTGGTCAATAAGAATTTTGAGTTACGTTTTATTTTGAAACCAAATCCGGAGCGTATGACAAATGGTGGTGGCAGTGGTGTGGGCGGTGGCATCCATGGTAGCAGCGGTGGCAGTCGTAGTAGTCGCAGCAGTAATAGCTAGTGGTTAACTAAGACCCTGTAAAATTGCGGGGTCTTGGAGTTTAGCTATGGAACGAAAAATAAGAAACGCAGACTATCGTATTTTGCATGTCTGGGTGCTTTACAGGATATGTATTGGAAATTGCAACCCATACACATTATTATTGTTTAGTTTACGACAAAAGATATTGTCGTGAGAAGAAACTGAAACAGACACACACACAAATTCGTTTATAAGTATATATATGTATGTAAATGTAGATGTATGTATTATATATTTTATTTTGTATGTAACCACAGAGTCGAAATTTCGATTTCTTTTTGTATAAAGTGAGGTTAGAACTTTAAATAACATCTTTAACTGCCTATTGGCCTTATATGGAAGGCATGATGAATTTCGGGGTTTGTTCAAGAGGGCTTGAGGAGAAGTTGAAAGGGGAAAATGTAGGGCAAAAGAAGCACTAACGACATATTAAGAGCTTAAAGACCTCTCGAGAATGTAAAGACGGGACTTTTTCTAAACCAATTTGTTTTTTTTAACTGCAATGACTAGGACAATTGAGGAATTTATTGCTACACAGGGATATTTTCCAAGTGGATTGACGGAAAATTTTGGTTTCTGAGTGGCATGCATTGTGTTCGGAACCTTGAATATTACCGCTTTTTTTGTAGCTCCACAACTTGAGGGGTATATTGCCCAGTATTGAAACTTCTGTTAAATAATATTTGGTAAAGAATAGCTTAAAATATGTTTTTAATAATTGAGATTTGCATAACCTTTGAAATTCTAGATGCAAGTCGAAACGACATAGTCCCAATACCACTTTTGATAAGGGCAGGTTATTTGGTAGGGTATTTGTGCCTTGAAACAAAGACATCTTGGTGTTGAAGCGGTGTTTAGAACACCAAATTGAATATTCTGTAAAAAGATGTGTGATAAAGACTATTTCAGAGCTATTTAAAATATAGGCTTCACATTCTTAATCGGAATAGAATTTTGAATTTTTCATTTAGAACCATTACCATTTTTCAACTTCAAAGGTTAGATGATAGATAGACCCTCAATTTTTTCACTTAAATAATGTCTAAAAGTTTTTGGGAAATAAACACTGACTCTACGACGCCTACGGTTTAAGATCTTTTCTTTTTGTTTTGAGGATTTCTAACCGGTCAAGACTCTGACCCTAATACGAAACAACTAATTGGAGTTATGAAGCTTAAATAAATTTCAAATTCACGAAAGTGGATTTTTGTGGAAAAAAGCGAAATATGAGAAATTCTAAGCCTAGATAATGGAATTCGGAGCCCAAAATAATAAAATTCGGATGAAGCATCCAATCCACTTCTATGTCTGACCCCACACGACCCATACCGGTTGTGAGACTTACGTGCTTCAGCTCTTACGGTCTGACTCTTATGAATATCGTCATTGTCATGTATCATTTCAGTCCTATTCGTAGATGGAAGATCTGTTGGACACGCCCCATTGCCAGTTTTGTAATTGGTATATTGACCCATGATTAAATAAGTAATACGAACATGCTTCTTGACTCCACCCGACCCATAGTGATATTCGCATATCATTTCTAATTAATTTAGATCCATTGCCAATAGTTGGTCTGGTTCATAGACCCAAAACTGTAGAATAAAATATGAAAACTTCCACTTCTACGCCTTACCCTACAAGAGCCTTAGTGTGTTATCGTTTTTGAAGCTAACTGGCTTCAGCTTTTAAGACCCGTCCCTTTTGAGATGATCCATTACAAGTATATGGAATATCTGCTAGATCCAACTCATTACCAGTTCTATATAACTGGTGCATTGACTTTTTTATAGAAGTTATTCAAACAAGACTTCTTTTAAGTTCTTAAACCGACCCGACCCATTGAATGCTATTTGCGTACCATTTTAAGTTAATCAACATCTATTCTCTGCCAACCCCGCTTCTCCTCTTTTTTCCTCCATTTCAGGGTCTAGAACCGAGTATTCCTCCACCTGTCCCTCTATGGAGGAAGCCACATTGTGATCATCCAGAGCTGGGGATACCTCCTGGGCAATTCCCGTATCACCCACAAATTCTTCAAACAGCAGCTTGGTAGTATCAGAGGGACTTGGCATTGTAAGAAGTACGACCAGCATATCATTGTAAATATGTCGGTCATTCCACTCATAATTTTGCACAAGTTTATCTGTGCAGCCTTGACGGTGGGAGTTCTTGGGATCTTATATTTGCACTTGGGAGCAAATGTTTTCAAGAAGTTTCCGTCTGTCCAGTCGGTTTTCTCTGCAGCTTCTAAAGAGCTTGAGGGGCAGTTTGCAAAGAAGGTGTCAATATCCGCCTTGGTCCTCAGAGAGATATTATAATCAAGATCTACATGAGTCAAATCGTCGGATGGGGGAGAAGAATTGGTGCTTGAGGTCATGGTAGTCCTGGGAAAACGTTTTCCAGGAAGCGAGGGCTAACTTTGTGAGATAAGGTTTTATATCAACAGGGGTGTACAAATAGAAGATTTAAAATCAAAGGAAGACTAAACTAGGCCGGTTTGACAAGTTAAACTACAAGGCACAAAGAAAAATAGGAACAGAAAACAAAAAAAAATAAAATAACTGGAAAGACAATTTCTGATTTCCGTATATATAGAAGTTTTTTAATTTTCTTTGAATCTTTCTTTTTAGAAACGATCCTTTACAAGTAGATGGAATATCTGGTAGATCCCACCAATTTTCCAGTTTTATAATTGGTATATCGATCCATTTCAAAAGTATTTTTCCAAAGATGGCTTGCTTTAACTTCTTGAACCGAACTATTAAATGATATTTGTATCAATTCAAATAAGACCCTTTACCAATTCTCAGTCTGGTACAAATGCCCAAAATAAATGAATTTGGATGCCTCCACTTCTATGCCTGACCTTCAAGAAGCCAATCTTGCTTTAACTTTTTATTTTATATCCGACTCAACCCAAAAGAGTGATATTTGCATATCATTTCAAAGACCTATTACCAATCTCCGGATTGGTACATACCTCCATGTAGAGTTTGGATTCCTCCACTTTCTATGCCTGACCCAAGAAGTTATCGTTTATGAAGCTAATATGCTTCAGCTTTTAAGACCCCGACACATTTTTGTATCACTTCAGTCTCATTGAGAGCCCTTTTCAGTTGTAAAATTGATTTATAGACCCAGAATTCAAGAAGCCATTCGAAGCAGTTTTGCTTTAACTTCGTGATTCGATCCGACCCGATCCAACCCAAAGAGTGATATTTGCATATTATTTCAAAGACCCTTTACCTATTCTCGGATTGGTACATTGACCCATATAGAGTGTGGACATCTACTCTTCTATATCTGAACCGACACGACCCTTGGTAAATTAACGGCTATAAAGCCTATTTGCCTTAAATCTTTACGACCCAACCCGACCCTTGTGATGATATTTTTGGTATCATTGCACAAACATTTAGACCCCGATACTAGTGTTTTCATTCGAAGTTTGAATGTCTCGTCTTTACGACACAACCTAACCAGGCTCGATTCAAAGAACAAATCAATTTTAAAGGCATTTTTCATGTGCAAATTAACGTTTTCCGGTTTTAGTAGGTTAAAAAAAATATTTTTATTTTTTTCATTTATTTATTAATAAAAACACTTTTATTTTCTAACACATTTACTATTAACTTTACGTTTTATAATTATAATATTGTGAGGTTCGTAGTCCGATTTTTTATAAGGACTAAAAAAGATGATCCGTTCCCGAACTGATGTGTTCAAGGTTTCCGTGTAAACTGATTTTTAAAAATTAATAATTGACAAGGCAAACTGATGGCTTCTTGTTACTTTACTTATTCAATCCTATTTCTTGAATTATTAAAAATAAGAGCAAAATCAATCGATCGCTTCGCATTACTTCATTTATTAAAACAAATATTTTAGATTCCCATGATCAGGCGATAATTTAAAGTTTTAAATTACAAGACATATTTTTGGTGTGTGGTCACCATGTGATTTGTTAACTATGATCAGGCGATAATTTATAGTTTTGAATTACGAGAAATATTTTGGGTGTGGTCACCATGTGGATTGTTAACTCCCCCCTGTCTTAGGAGAGACGTCCCGGATCTCTTTCATTTAATTCATAAAGTTCATTGAGTTTTTTCTTTAATTCTGATAGAGCGAATTCCTTCAATTCTTTTTCAGTCCTTTTTACATTTTCTTTCTTCTTACTTATATACATTTTAATATATTTTCTTAATTTAAAAGATATATAAGTTGTTAATATTAATACAAAGATTATTATAATGGTTATTAGTTTGTGATGGCTACTACTCTCATCTTTGCTTATCTTTGAGGGTTAAATTATTAATGTTTTCAAATTCCATTGTTTCATTGAATATTTCTGTTACATCATAAATTGGAATTTTATTATTCTTTAAATAATTCTTTATAATTGCTGATGGATTTTCATATCTTATATTATTAATGTTAACATTGTGATTCAATAAGACCCTTCTAATTTTGTTGAATTTACAATATTTTTCCTTGATATTGAAATGACACCGTCTTTTATTATTTCCAACTTGTTTTGGCTTTTTTACAATAATTTGGCATTTAGCTTCTTTTGAATTTAAAATTTTACTTAAGCATGTTTCTTCGTCTGCTTTTTTACAATATGAATTATGTGTTTCCTGTTTACAATTTTTCACATTAGTGAAATAATTTTGACATTTTTGACAATTTCGTGTTCAATATTTAATTCCGTTTTATTAATGCTGATAGGTCTTACATCATATAACTTACATAATTTATTTATTATTGGATATTTTATATATACTATTACACAATCTTGAGCTTGAATTACTTCAAAAGATGAGGCGTCTAATATGTCCGTGAGTGTTATTCTTTTTTCTTCTATCTTCATGATTTGTCTGATTTCCCTAAGATTTAATAATCCTGTAAATAATATGTTTACTTTTGCTAGACTAATTGCATGAATAAGATTTATCAAGTCCGTTAAAATCAATCTATTTCTTTTTCGTACTATTTTGATATTTTCTCTTGCTTCTTTATTAGCTTCAAATTGATCCGTTAATTTATTTATTATGTTAAATAGTTTTGAATTAATCATGAATTGTTTGTTACTATTTATTATCATGTCATTAATTCATACAAAGCCGTCGTATGTGAGTCGCATTAAAAGAGTAAACATTATTAAAGCCCACATCTGTAAGAATTTATTTTATATTATCTTTGTGAATTATTCGGTTATTACTATATATTAAAACATTATGTCCTAAGTCCTTTCTGTTTCCTATAACATGGTCCTAGTTTATTTCTTTCATTTAATTTTTTTCAAATATTATATTCCTGTCCTCATAGGAGTCCTCTATGCGAGTCGCATTGAAAGAGTAAACATTATTAAAGCCCACATCTGTAAGAATTTATTTTATATTATCTTTGTGAATTATTCGGTTATTACTATATATTAAAACATTATGTCCTAAGTCCTTTCTGTTTCCTATAACGTGGTCTTAGTTTATTTCTTTCATTTAATATTTTTTTTCAAATATTATATCCCCGTCCTCATAGGTTCTAAGCTGTCGCTTCTTATTTTCTCATTCTAGCATTTTACCTTGAGATTCCTTTAATTTATCTGGTATGTTACTATGTTTGACTTTGTTAAACAATACTTCAACTGGTTGAAAGTTAGTTACCGAGTGAATTGTTTTGTTATATTGCTGTACTGCTTTATAAACCGCTTCAATAGGATCAATTATTTGGTACTCTTCTTTAATACATCTTGTCATTTCTATTATGGTCGAATGCACTGTTTCACCTGTTGGTTTTACTGTGTCCTGGTGGACAATATTTTAGTTCAATTTGCATTCTTTGCATTAAAGATTTGAATTGTAGGGATGTAAATCCTGGTTCATTGTTCAACTCCAATATTTTCGCATTTGGGAAAACCTGTAGGATTTCTAGAACTTTTTCTTCTAGCCTGGTTTTATCTTCTATTTGTTTGATCGTTAAAAATTTTGAATAGACGTAAATACATGTGAAAAATATTTTATTTTCCGCATAAAATATATCTAAATGGAGATTCTCTCCTTCGAATTGTGGGATAGGTGCTTTTCCTATTGGAACTGTTGCTGGGTTTCGAACATATTTGTTTCTATTACAAATTTCGCAATTTCTAATATATTCTTTAAGTTCCTTTATCATAGTTGGCCAATAAAATTTATCTTTGATTTGATTATAATTTTCATAAAAATTCCTGTGTGCTTGAGTGTGTTCTTTTTCAATTACGTTCTTTTTATCTTCCGATTCTGTTACATCCAGTGGCATTAGATTTGTATGAAGAAATGTTATTGATGGAAATGTTTCCTTTAACATATTTTGATTATGGTATATAGTTTCTGGTGTGCAGTATATTGCTGTTGATAAATCTGGATTTAAATATTCAGTTAATATAATTTTTAAATTTTCAATTGTGTCATAAGTTATCAAATGTCTTTTTTTTATCAAAAACTGTTAGTTGTTCATGAGTTGTAAAGTTACCTGAGTGAATAACCAGTTGTTGCTTGAAGACTTTTTTGTTTCTGGGCTATGAGTCATATCCAAACATTCGCTGGAATGTTGAGTTTCTAAAGAGCTGATTGATTTACTTTCTGAAGATTCGCTTGTTAAATCTGTAACTTGATTTAAATATTGGCGTGATAACGCGTCTGCTACAACATTTGTTTTTCCAGGTCTATAAATAATATTTGGAGAATATTCCTCCAATAAAATTAACCATTTTTTATTCG